CGAAAAAATAATAATGGCTTCCATAATTATTTTCCATCATGACATTTATTTTTATGAAATGTGAAATTGCTTGAAGAGGTCGCTGCAAATAAAGTTCAACTGTTTAACGAAAGTTCCATATGTCGGTAGATAACACTTGGCTGCCACGAACCCGCGACTAGGCAGCTTCGTACCGGATAAGTCGCATTCACCAGTAGGCTACTTTATAGTAACACATTATAGTAACTCTTTTAGTGGCAAAAACTACCCGAGACACTACCCGGCTACTCAAAATCTTTCCCCATTTTGGTCGCAGTTACGTAGCAGCTACGAATATACGACGTAGCCGCCGATGGTCACCGCCCACTTTGTAGTGGCTTTGATAGTAGCAGTTACGTATCTGCCACTATAAATGCTAGTTGGGTTGATAAAATAAAAAAAATTAAGACACTCAGGTAATGTTTATTTTTATTTACGCTTTATAAATAGGAAATAAATGTAGTAAACATCTCTCGAAACACCTAAAAAATTATAAATAAAACAAAACAAACCGTCTAGCACACCTGGTTAATTCTAAACTAAACCTAAATAAACTTTCAGAACAAAACTTTTCATATATTTTAAACATGAAATGAACCAGTTTCGGAGAGAAAAAGATCGAGACAAATTTACAACTTCTGCGCATGCGTAACGTTATCCTTTTTGTTATATCTATCGTCCGTAAGATAGCGGGGGGTGACGTTAGAGATATACGTTAAATGGCATATACATATGAAATATATACGGATTATCGCCTATCCCTGCAATGTGTTGGAGTTGAAGCCGAGTTAGAGACAGCTATATAACCGGTCCATGTATATTTCACATAAGTTCGTCTGTTAGGCAGACACTGGCGCAACAGCGCAATTAGCCCTTATTCTGAAGATTAGCCAATTGTCGAACAGAAACGCAAACGAAAGCCGTACGAAGTTGGACGGAGCCGTACGAATGAACAGCTGGTGTTAGCGTCTAGTCTCTTATTGCTCTGGTTATCCGATCGATAATTCAAAATAAAGACTTGCGCACTACGCTTGAGCACAGCTAACTGAGCGACTTATGCAAATTCTTTCAGAAGATTTATATACCCATTTCACCGGCTTGGCATCACAGAATTCAGCTTGGAGTCGATATTCTTTAGTTAATATATATATATGGATATACAACAATAACATATATATATATATATATATATATATATATATATATATATATATATATATATTATATATATATTATATATGAGCGACTTATATATTATATCATAAGATTATTTTACCCATTTCACCCTCAGGGTAAAATGGGTGTTTTCGATTATATATATATATATATATATATATATATATATATATATATATATATATATATATATATATATATATATGCTAATATATATATATATATATATTATATAATATATTATATATATATATATATATATATATATATATATTATATAGATATATCTCTCTGTTAATACTACTATATATATATATATATATATATATATATATATATATATATATATATATATATATATATATATATATATATATATATATATATATATATATATGGTTAAATGACATTTCGTATGTCATTCTTGTCAATTAGCGGCTACCGGTGGTACTTTTTAAGCGTTTCGAAAACTGTCTAATATGATTGGTGTGACGGAACGATAAACGACACACGGACGCAGATGCGTATGAACTCGAATAAACGTTTTTGAAACTTATCAAACTCTTGTCAAATTGAAGGTTATTATTTATGTCAAATAACGGTCCGGAAAATATATACATATAACTAAAATATACTCAGCCTAATCTCCAAAAAGTGAAGCCCAAACAGTGAAAGAGAAATATGGGATTCTGCATAAGTCTATTTCACTCGGATATTCATTTAACTGCGCATGCCTTACCTGAAAAAGTTTTCATTGGTCGGTGTTTTTAAAAGGAAGTGGTTGACTGACATTCCACCTATCCTTCAATTTTATTTATATTTTTATTATTTATAACACATTATCATGGAGTTGGAAAAATATCAAAAAATAGTTGGAAACAATAAACTAAAAAAAATCACTCTTTTACGCGCACAAATAAAAAATAATCCAAACAGAACTAAAACAACAATCAATCAGAGTTTGGCGCAATCGCAGTTCAATCGATATCGGTGAAATAGACTTATACAGTATTAATATGGAGCTGGGTTATGTTGTATTTCTCTTACGGCACAGAAACTGCACACGGGGTTAAATAAGGAACACTGAGTATATTTTAGTTATATGTATGTATATGCTGGAAAATAATAAATATTTCCGAATTGCTTTTGCATTTTGGTTTGTGTATTACGTGTGTTAGGTTAGGCTGTAGGAAAATTAAGTGTAGACCCAGAGCACAGTTCTTAAGTTAATATTTGGTGTCCAAAGAGTTGTACTAGCAACCAATAAAGTTTGTATACCATCTCGTATATGGTTCTAAAACTGAAGTAGCTGTGTAATAGAGATACCACACTATAGGTAAATAGTAATATATTTTTATACTGTAGACACAAGTCAAAAGGTACTGGTTAAAAAAAATAAGATTAAAGCTAACCTTACGTGTTTTTTTAACATACACCTTTGTTTGTTTTGGTTTGGTTTGGTTTGGTGTATTAATATACACCGTTATTTTTTTTTTTAATAAAATAACTCAATTAGATTTTTTCAGTTTTATAAAGTTTTTTCATATATTGAAGTAATCATTTGTCAGTAAAATTTTAAATACATTGTGCACGTTCAGGGACCGTCAGCGGCTGAGTAAGCGACTTCCCTAAACGGTCTCTTTCTACACACAAAAACAGTCAACCTCTGAGCAAAAGTCTTAGCGGGCAGTCAGCCGCTGTTTAAAAAAAAAGAAAAATTTTAAGTACTCCAAAATACTGTTACGTCACCCGCGTCTCCTGCCGACGAGTCTCAATAAACTATCTTCTCGCGCTTATAGATACTCATAAGACTTTCTTATCGCGTTCTAAAACCCGTTGAATTCGTCTGGCAATTAACACATTTTTTTAATATTATCTGATAAACACGCTGTAAAAATTTAGAATGCCTAAAGTATATTTTCTAGGTATAATTATTAAACATATTTGCGATGGTCGGGATATACTTTAAACCCGAAAAAAAAGTCTGGCATACTTATTTCTGAGTTAAACAGATGCTAAAATTTGAAAAAAAAACAAATTTCAAGTTGCCTAAAGGATGTTTTTTGGATTTATTTTTTTGCAAATGTCATGGATGGCGCAGTAGCGAAATACCCGCAACCCCTCTGCCCGACTTAGGATTCTGGGTTCACCAGTTAATAAACATTTTTAGTTATTCTAGCTTGCCTAAAATATGTTCTCTATATATGTCGTCAGCTCTTTAAGCGTTGTTCATGTAGACGCGAATCGCGAATCGCTTTTACGAAACTGCTCTCATTGGTCCAATTTTACAGATCATGGCGGCGCTGTCAGAAATTTTAAGATTTTGGCGATTCGCAAGATTTAAAATTTGGGGGGCGGGAAAGTTAGTGTTTTCAACTTTTTGCGGATATTCGCGCGATTTTAAGGTTCGCGTTTGCGCAGAATGGTGTTGTGATCCGGTTATCGATTATTTTGACGACGCTGCCACAAAGTAACTGAAAGCATTTCTTCCTATGATTTCTTCAGTTGAAATGGGTTCTCGTGCATAATATGTTTTTGATGGTCTCTGACATGGTCACAATTTTTCAACCAAGTTATCAAACTCCTGTACAGACAATCTGTGAAAATTCCTAAATTTTTTCTCATCTTTTGTCCTCATATCTTGAATTAAATTGCGATAAACACCTTGTTCCTTACGAAATTTAAATATTTTACATGTCCCAAATGACCCATAAATGACCTATAAACCTGTGCTATAAACCCGTTCTCTTCTACGTTTTAACAATAAGTAAATGGCAATTTTGCGCCTTATTCTGTTGCAATCCCACAATCGTAATCGATATTCATAATCATTAAACAATTTTAAACTCAAATTGCATGCTATAAAATATAAAATACAGATCGTAAACAGGAATAAATATGTATAAAACAAATTAAGTTATCTCAGGTTATGATTTTTTTTGGTAACTTTCAGTGGAGCAAAAATGAAATGTCGCGACTAATGAAATAGGTCCAAATTTTACGAATATTTCTTGGCGAATCGCTTTTCGCAATTCGCGATTCGCGTCTACATGAAACAAGCTTTATGTGGCCCTGGGACGGTCAATAATATTGTCAATAAAATTGATGATTTTAATTGCAATTGCGATTGATGGAGGTTCAATGAACACATGAATTACTTAGTTGTTAAATGAATTTCTTACCAGTCGGGTGGTTTATTATTTATATAATGATGTTAAATATAGATATGGCCTTTCTGGCCTTAACTGTAGTTGTTTGCAGACAAAAAAAAGCCAAGGAAAAAGCCAAGAGGAGGAGGCGCTGGTCAAAATATGGTATATCATTTTAAAAAATATGGTATAAATTGAAAAGCCGCTTTACCCATGAACATTTGCTACAATTTCTGCGAAATAGTGAACCCGAGGATTAATGTTTCCGGGTTCCACAGAGCCCTGCGGCGTATCACCCGTGTCCGTCATTGTTGCCGTCTGGTAAACAACTGTCTGAACGATTGTCAATTTCCCAATTACACGTTCAATTGCGATGTGTCAATGATCACCGTCAATGTGCTTCAATCAAAAATGCTATCAATCTCCGTCAATCGATTGACAATGGCGTCAATCGCTTCCTACACTATCAATTAGGTGCATCAATGAGTACCATTGACAATATTATTGATCATCTCCGGGACCCTTTAGGCTATTTTGTCTTCAAACTGTACCAACCTATTTCTTTGTAAAATAAAAGAAACTACGATAAAATTTAATATTAAGGATGCAAGTCGAGGATTTTGTCACTGGACAGACTATATATTACTTGAACATTACCTTTCCATGCCTAAAATCAGGAAATAATTCGGTGACATCAATATTAGCATATTTTGAGGGTAGCATAGCAGCAAGTGGTGTATCCAATTTCTTCTTATCTATTCCTTCCGCTGTTTCTAAAACATTAGATGATGAACCGTCGGGGATTGCAGGAGGTGGCATTAGTTTTTCATCAAGTTTCGACTCTTTCACGTAGCTAATCTCATTGATTTCATTTAAGGAGGGTGGATCCTAGAACAATAAAAATGATATATTTATAATAATGCTAGTTGAAGCATGGCGCATCCGCCACGACATCAGGAAAAAAATACTTTTTATTATTTTTTAATTAAATGAAAAACAAAAAATCCGGCGATGATAGTTTTTAGAAGAGCCAATTAGCTATCTTTTAGTAAAAAAAGCAACTTTCTAGAGTAATTCGTTACTTCAGTAGAGACGACACAGATAAACATTAGCATTTTATATATGTAGACTAGAAGGACCATTTAACGAAAAAAAATCAGTTGTCGGTGGAGCTGGAAAATATTTAAAAAATTTGGAAAATGTATGGTAGGGGTGGGGGTAGTTTTCACCCATACTTTTTCTTGATTTTTGTAAAAGTCAAATATTAAAGCACTTGGCAGAATATAGGCACCCCGAATCTCATTTAAATCAGAATATCGGTCCCTAAAATATCTTAAAAAAATGTGTTTATTTTTTTAAACCTTGATGCCGTCTAATGCATAATAATGAAAGAAGTGTCTAGCGGGAGACTTTCATCATTGATACTACGCATGCGCAGGTAGCAGATGTTACCATATTTCTATAAATACTATTAAATAGTATTAAATAAAAATATAAATTTTATATTTATATAAATAAAAATAATAATTAAAAAAAATATAAATTTTATATTTATTTTATATTTTTTCTAACCTTGTTTTTTCTAATCTCTTTTTCACTGAAGTTGTGTATAAAGGACAGTTAAATACATTATAAATGTTTAGAAGGCTGCTTTGTATCCTTTCCTACTGATAAAGATCTTTTAGCGCATCTTCAAAAGCAGCATGGAGTTATGATATCATTCTACTCGATTTTCTCCTATTTCAGGTAAATGTAGCAACAGTATCTTTGGTACAGTAACAATACAAATTCTATGATTAATTATATATTTTAAGATTTTTAGATTTATATTGACGAATATCAAAATTCCAATGATGTGAATTATGTGTAAAATAGAGGAAAGATACTTAATGGAGATTACGAAGTAAGGTATTATCATTGTGATCGGATCATAATATTATCATTCATATACATTAAAAACATAAATTCATAATCATTTATTAATATTCTTATTTGATGGTTTTAAATTTATGAATACTATATCTGAATTATCATGTCATTACATCCAAGCGGTTTAATTTTTTATTTATTTGCAGGCAACAACATATTCATTTTATCATTTCTGACTTATGTTACTTAAATTACTCTAAATTTTGGTAAAATCTAGTAAAGAGGTAACATTAAATAACTACTTACGCAATCCACTTTAATTTATACAGAGTCTTATAGCAGATATCAATGCGACAAAAGTAATAATATTTAAACATTCAACAGTTTATCTGGTGTGGTTATAATTTTTGTATCAATTCTAAAACAGATCAAGTTACTGTTGGTTACTGTATTAGAAAAATGTAGGCACATATTTTTTTATGAAAAAATAGTGATAGAGTTAATAAGCTTTGTTTTATCTTTTACTCTTTAGGAGGTAGATGGTCTATGTTGTAGAATACATTACAATATTTAATATTCTGTATTTTCATTATTTTATTTTATGTAATTTATTGTAAGTTGTCAAAATACCGCCAAGAAAATCTTGACAATATGGCGAAGTTTCTAATTTGAATGAATTAAATTTACATTATGATATGATGCAAAAAATCAAAATGATTAACAAGATACTTTTTATTATATTTTTTGTTTTAATACTACAATATTATTATGCTTTGTGGTGTGGAAAACAAATGTTAAGTTATCTTAATATTTGCCATGATGTTTTATTACAAAATATGATTTATAAATCACAGATATATTAATTAAATATAATATTATATATTTTGTAGACATTTTGGACAATTGGACATGACAAAGAATTAAGAAGCACGGCAATAAAGGTAGAAAAAAATAGGGCTAGAGAAGCATCAGTCTAGTGTTGAGTATATCGGAAGCCCCAAAATTAGATGGATCCTATAATAATGGATATTAAGGACATAATTTGTCTGTTTATATGTACCTATAATTTAAATTTTGAAAACAGAATGTACTGTGTCCTAGGCTAGGTTTATGGGAGTTTCATCTTATTAAAATACTTTTTCTTTTCAAATGTAGCCATCTACAGTGTTTTATTTGTGTCTAATTCTATTGATAATGAAATTAGAGCTGTCTATAATAAGATATGTTGCCATGAAATAAAAACACATCTCTCAAAAAAAGTTCTTTTGGCATTGGGTCAATATATTAAAATTTTAATATTGTTACGGATTCCGTGGGTCCACTAATTTAAACTCACGATAAAATACTTAACGAATTTATTTTCTCACTTTATACACAATTACTAACTTATAACACACAACAAACTAACTATTTATAAGATTCCTTCACCAAATTGTCCGATTTTCAATTTTCACGCGGTATATTCAAATTTCAAAAAAACTCTCTCAGTTGTCGATGGCTCCGGCTTATATACTCTATTGACTGCTTCTCGAAATTTCCCCAATTCTCGGAAAGCGTACTTCTTCATACCAGACAATTCTATTGTCTGATTCCCTTACTTCTCGACTTGACTAAAAGATGGCGCCTGAAAAAGTCTTTTAATTTCTGGCGGATACGTTGCGGTTGTGCAGGCAACCAGTAATACATTTTTAATTTCTGGCGGATGCGCCATTTTTCTTGACATTGCCCCCTTTCTCAAATTTGATCGTCCCGATCAAGGTTTCCTGTCTGGTATCTCTTCAATCGATCCAGATGAACTACTTTCATCTTACTTCTAGGGCTGCGTTGAATCCGGTACACAACATCATTTATCCTCTTGATGACTGTATAAGGACCTTCCCATGCTGGAGTTAACTTTGGGGACCTCCCTTTCTTGCGCTGTGGGTTATATAACCATACCATATCGTCCTGTTGAAATCCCGTAGAATTAGCTCTGAGGTCGTAACGAGCTTTCATCCGGTCACTGGCTAGCGTAATCTTACTTCTCACGGCCTTATGAATTCCCAATAACCTTTCCTTCAGTTCATCCGCGTAGTCCTCTACGTTCGTGGTGCTGTCGTCTGGTGATCCGAACACCAAGTCACAAGGCAACCGTAATTCTCGACCAAATAAAATCTTCGATGGTGAAAGTCCGGTGGTGTTGTGAACTGCACTTCTATATGCCATTAGGAATAGTGGTATATGCTGATCCCAATCTCTTTGATGTTCATCCACCATTTTCGAGAGATGTTCTTCAATGGTCTTATTGAATCTCTCGACCATCCCATCAGACTGCGGATGTAAAGCTGTTGTCCTAGTCTTGTGAATACCAAGCAGATCACACATCTTCTGGAACAGTCTTGACTCGAAGTTCCTTCCTTGGTCAGTGTGAAGCTCTAAAGGAATTCCAAATCTACTGAAGACATTATTGACTAATACTTCAGCTACAGTCGATGCTTCTTGGTTTGGAATGGCAAAAACTTCTGGCCATTTACTGAAATAATCCATCGCCACTAAAACGTACTTGTTGCCCTTGTGCGTTTCAGGGAATGGGCCTGCAATGTCAACAGCGATTCTTTCGAATGGCAGTCCAACGTTATATTGTTTCATTTTTCCCCTAGATCGAGTGCTTGGTCCTTGGCTGGCTGCACAAATTTTACATTGTCGACACCATTTCTTGACATCTTCGCAATAATCCACCCAGTAAAAGCGATCTCTCAGCTTGCTCAAGGTCTTGTTTACCCCAAGATGGGCTCCAGTTTTACCACCGTGAATTTCTTCCAATACCTGGGTAACTTTCTTCCTTGGTACCAGTAACTGAGTTGTTACTGTGCTGCCATCCGCACTTTCCCATGTGCGCTTTAACAATCCATTCTCAATAACCAGTGAATTCCACTGAGCCCAGAGAGCTTTGAAAACGAGCCCTCTGTCCGCAATATCCTGCCACGGTGGTCTCTCGCCGTTACCTTCCTTGAGCCGTAGTATTGCTCCGATGTCTGGATCTTCCATTTGATCTTTCCTCAATTGTGTCGTCGTCCACTGTTCATCGGTTCCAAGTTTAAAACTCCTTTACTCTGATAGTGCTTTCGCGATGTTGCATTTTCTTGCCCAAGGTAGCTCGTCGTCGATCCGGTTCGTTGTCGATAATTTGTACCCGTCCTACACGGCACCCAACGGTTTTCTCTAGTTTCCCGAACACAGTCTTCTTGGTATCACCAGGTATCATCACAATTTTCGATGATCTTTCTTCCATATTTCCTGGTCTCTTCTCTTTAGATACAGAAAATTCCTCATTTCCGATTTTCAGGATGTTTCTATGGTGATCAAACGAAAAACCATGTTGACTGATCACATCCATACCCATGATAAAATCATCTTCAATGTCTGCCACTAAGACGCTATGCTTAAACTTCAAATTTCCTAACTTCAGTTCGACGATAGCCTCTCCCCGTACAACGGCCATTTCCCCCGTAACTGTACGTAAACATACTCTTCTTCTCAGAGGCATCAGCTTCAATCCTTGCACTGAGTTAGCCCGCACCAACGAAACCATAGCGCCAGTGTCCACTGTCATTCGGATTCCCTTTCCATTGACTTTCCCGTCGATCACCAAACTGTCAGCGGTTCTTCCTAGACTTCTAATGGAAAAAAATCCTGGGGCTCTGTTCTCCCCAGTCAATACTGCCCCTTAGTATTGACTGATTTTTAGTTTTCCTGGTGCCTACGTTCTCTGGATGGTGAACGGGATCGCATTTGAACGCGGCAATCCGTTTAATGTGGCCATTCCTGCCACATCTAAAAGCACCTTATGTCCTGGAATCTTCTCTGGTTCTCTGTCTGGGTGTTGTTGACTCCCCTGTTTATTAGTAGCTCACATAGTTTGTCGACTTTCTTACACATCTCCTCCAAACCTCTGTGAGTGCTTTCGGGCTGTTCCTCGACCGTTACCGATCTTATCTTCGGCCTAGGGATGGCGCTAAAGGCAGCTTCGATTTCCAGCGCCCTGACCAGTGCTTCGCTGCTGGTGGAAAATCGGGATATTTGCAGCGCCCTCTGCAATTCGTTGTCCCTCAGTCCGCTAATAAAGCACTGAGCAGCGAGTTCCTCCCTAAACCCTTCCGGTGCTTCTGGGTATGCTAGGTGTACCAGCCGACGTAAGTCTGCTTCAAATTCCTGCAGACTCTCTCCGGACCTCTGCAGGCGCGTCTTGATCTGGGCCTGGTAAAGTTGACGTCGATGTTGGTCGCCATATCTTCTGTCCAATGCAGCAACCAAAGCCTCATACTCCTGCTGTTGGGCTGCAGGAATAGTTTGTAGCAGTTCCAGGGCAGGGCCACGCAGCGCGATGACAAGTGCCGCTGCTTTATCCTGGTCGGTCCATCCGTTGGCAGCGGCGGCTGCTTCAAACTGGCGGTGGTACATCGTCCAGGTGGTTTGTCCATCGTAGGTGGGGGCCTTGAGGTTCGCAGTCCCAGGAACGCCAGGTGTCCTTGCATGTGCCTTGGTCTTCTGTATGTCCATCTCTAATTTTTCCATTTTCTGTTGAAGGCGCTCCTCCAGATCTTCTACGACTTCTTGGAAGTGGGCCTCTTGTCTTCGTTCCGAATTTTCGAGACTTTTCTGCATGCGGTCTTGATCTTCAATTTTGTCCTTCTGGCGACGTACTTCTAAATCTTCAACAATTTTCTCCAACCGTTCTTGTCTAATTTCTTGATTTTCTAGAATTTTCTGAACACGGTCCTGTTCTTCTTGTCTTTCTCTATGACGTCGCTCCTCCAAACGAATTTCCAAATTTCCTATTATTTTCTCAAGCCGGTCCTGTTCTTCTTGTTTTTCTTTCTTTTGACGCGCTTCTAAACCTTCTAACATTTTTTCTTGATTTTCCATAAGTATTTTCTGTAGGCGGTCTTGTTCCTCTTCTTTCTCTCTTCTCATATTCTCCATAAAATCGCCCAATAATTTGCTTACTTCCTCCATTTTCTTCGCTTGCTCCCTTGTACCAACCATAAAAATACTCTGATTCGGTCTAAAAATCTTCCAATCCACTTAATTTCTTCTTAAAATCCTCTTGAATCCCACTTCTGACACCAATTGTTACGGATTCCGTGGGTCCACTAATTTAAACTCACGATAAAATACTTAACGAATTTATTTTTCTTACTTTATACACAATTACTAACTTATAACACACAACAACTAACTATTTATAAGATTCCTTCACCAAATTGTCCGATTTTCAATTTCCACGCGGTATATTCAAATTTCAAAAAACTGTCTCAGTGGTCGATGGCTCCGGCTTATATACTCTATTGACTGCTTCTCGAAATTTCCCCAATTCTCGGAAAGCGCACTTCTTCATACCAGACAATTCTATTGTCTGATTCCCTTACTTCTCGACTTGACTAAAAGATGGCGCCTGAAAAAGTCTTTTAATTTCTGGCGGATACGTTGCGGTTGTGCAGGCAACCAGTAATACATTTTTAATTTCTGGCGGATGCGCCATTTTTCTTGACAATATTTTTATTCTATCTTGTGCGTTCCATTCCATGAACAACATTTTTCAAAATAATGTTTATTTCATAGTTGGCATGAAAAAGGTAACTGTTTTTTTTTATATGTAAGTGAATTTCATCGCTCATCATTTCCAAGCCATCTCTGACTCCGTTTTTTATCATACGTACTTAATTCACAAGAATTTCATGATTAAATACATATATCTTAATAAAGTAATTATAAATATATTTATTCAGATATCATTAGATTTACATATTTGGTAAAAAATATTAGCTTATAATTTCTTATTTATTTATTTATTATTAAATTATAGTATTTTCATTTTCATCTTTACAAGTATCTATTTCTGTATTTTATTCTCATTCAAACCAATAAATTTATTTTAACAGATTTTATTATTTTTTTTTAAATTAATAGGTAGGTAATGGTAATAATAAAATTATACTTAAAATTTCTATTTTAATAATGACAAAGCAGAAAAAGTAAAGTTTATAAAAAAAGTAAAACAAAAATAAAACTTTATAAAGAAAATTAGGTAATTACCGAAAATTAAATTATAATATTAAAAAGGGAGATTTTATGGCCTATAAAAAAGGATTTATTTATTATCTAATTTCAAAATAATACACATGCACAATTTGGCAACATCAACAGAAATTTGCTTACTGCGCATGCGTAGAACTCGGATGAAAGTCTCCCGATAGACACTTCTATAATGAATGCCCTCAAACCTAACCTAACTTTCCTCTTGTAAAGACAACACGAGGACATACTGTATATTCCGTATGATCGAAAAAAAATACGGCGTCCAGTTGGCTGTGAAATGACGATCGATGACATTTCCCATATAAAATGACAGCGATCTTCATTTCATAGACATCGCTGACGTGTTTTTTTTCGATCATACGGTATTTGTTAGAGAAAAAAATTCAAATTGAGCGCAAGTAGATTCATATACCTTATATTTAAATAGAACATTTCAGTGCCCAGAATAAATCTACAATAGCAAAAACACATATAAATCTCCAATAGCAAAAAACGATCAGTAAACAATTACCCAAACTGCATATTTCTACAAATAAAAGCAAAGCCCTATTAATCAATAACTAATGCATTATATATTACCTCTTCATTTGCCAGTTCATTGATGTCAAAGAAATCTTCAGCTGACGGAGATTTTTGATCATCTAATAATAAAAAAACATACTTATTTATGTAAATATATACTTTCTGCATAATCTATATAGTATACAGGTTCAAGACTAAGGTTCTAAGGCTTCATTCAGTACCTCGCAATTAGTTAGAAAAAAGTTATCAAACTTTTGACTTTTCCACTGCTTCAAAATTTTCTACAAATACAAATGTTATTTTGACATTTGATTGTCTTCCGCGAAGAGAACTTGTGGTTAGAAATCAAAAGTTGATTGTTTTATAAGCTAAATATTAAATATTAGGCTTTCTCTATAGATACCATGGCTGCGTTTAGGTATTAAAGGCGACAATCTATTTGGACGTGACGTAACAACCTAGAGTTGTTTGTTCTTGTCCCACTATATTAAAATTAGATGAGGATGTCGCTGTCTATAAGAATATCCTTTGCTTTAGAATGTCGAAGGATGTAAATTTTATGTCCAGAGTGCATCTACCCTGAATATCTGAACACAGCCCTTGACAAAAGTATAAAGTGTAATTGAAACACTAATTTATTCCGAAATGTTGCAAGGTTTATAAAGGTACCATTGCGATAAAAAAAAAGTAGTACAACAAAATATGATTTAATCGGCTGGTCTATAATAAAATATTAAAAATTGCCCATTTTTAAAAGGTAGGTAAATTTTTTATACTTTTATTTCGCCAAGTATATCTACCAATTATTACCAAATTCATGGTAACGCCTAAAAAGTTAGGTGGCATAATTGTATTGTTTTCATAGTGACGACGATATCCACTTCTTGATATCCTTATAGACCAGGATTCAAGTTCTATCTGGGACTACTAATTCTTGTACTACTTTTTTTTTATCGCACTGGTACATGTACCCAGACACATTTTGTTGTATACAGGGTACCCCTCAAAAGAATGATAAAGTTGTTAAGTTCTTTAAGATTATATACCGTATGATCGAATAAAAACGGCGTCAGCGATGGTTATGAAATGAACATCGATGACATTTCCCATATAAATTTGCATATAAAATGACAGCGATCTTCATTTCATAGCCATCGCTGACGCCGTTTTTATTCGACCATACGGTATTATACTAATATAAATTTCAAATAGTGATTTTCATTCTCTTGAGACTAGATTTTGGTTGGTTTCTAAAGACTAACTCGGGGTCAGACTGCACCATCTTATACTTAGGCATAAAAAGTTTTAATAAGATTTATAAATTTGTGCCAAATTTGGATCAGAATAATTGTGAATATAAAAACAAACTGTAGAGTCTTACTGAATAAAGTATTTTATTCGGTAAAGGAGTTTAAGTACTTTTCCTGTTCTGTTTTTTCCTGACTAGTCTTACGAGTTGCAGAAGTGTATATTTATATATGTTTATATACACTATTGAATGACATGGGCCTATTGAAGTTAATATATTATATTAAAGGCTGAACTTAGACCTATGTTTTGATGAGATTTATGTCTCGCGGCAGCTAAGGTGTTAAGTACATCCAAGATTAGTTTAGAATACTTACAATTTTCAGACTGATCTGCATTGTCAGTGCTATCTAAATTATGTAGATTTTCATTTTGTGCAAAACTATACTCATAGTCTGTTTTAGTCTGGATTTCTTCTTCGCCTATTACTTCCTTTAAAATTGATCCAAATGCTAACCTAAACAATTGTATGTTTATTATTCAACAGGTAAATATTAATAATAAACTTTTTTATATTACTTTCCCAACAGAGATAATTGTTTCTGCGATTCTGGGTCCAAAATATCGCTTTCTAAATTTCCTAATTCATCAATATTTCCAAAAAGAAATCCTGTTAAATTTACACCGTTACCACTATCTTCTAAATACTCTTCTTCACTCTCCGTCATTATAATTAAGCAAAATAAAATAAGTCCCAAAGTATTCTTCAAAATAACAATTCAAATAATTTGTAACACGAAATAACACAAACACTGCATTTTATTTTTATTTTGTATTGTACTGTATTGTACAATGTGACGTCAATCAGGGTTGTTTTTGAAAAATTTCGATTGTGCAGGCACCAGAGGCAGGCACAGACTATAGACACGGCTATAGACACAAAACACATACACAAGAGCTATAGAGATGTCTTATGTCTATATCTCTGATCAAGCATCAATAGAGCCTATTAGTCGTGACGTCACATTTAGATTGGCAGGCATGCAAAGCTAACTTCAGAGCAATGCTTGATTCCAAACAATTAAAATTTGCCTGTGATTTTCCATAAGAGAGATTTTATTTTTAATTTTTATATATTTAAAGTGCTTTTTAGTGACCCAAGTGGACTTTTTTGAAAAAATTGTGGTTTTTAAACAAGACAATCGAAAAACCGATGTATGTATTTTCAAAGCAACTTGGTAATAATTGTTTTAAACTTTCTGAGGTTATGACATATTGTTTTTTTTACATTTTAAGGCATTATTTCATCACTTTTTTTATATTTAGTCATAGATTTATACCCCCCTCAAAAAAATCACAAATTCTATTTGGAACATTATATTCCATTTTTATTAGGGGAAAAACAAGTAATTAATGTATACCTATAATAATACTTGTAAGATTATACTGTTTTTTGGCATATTTTTAGTAGTATTTAGAAGTACATAATTATAATATTAAAGTAGTAGATAATATAATATTAATATAAAACACTTAATCCTGTTCATTTATGAAGTCTTATAAACCTACTTACCTATCATGTTGGCTGAGGGGGACAAACACTTTGATTATTCATATTTACACAAGGAAGAACTAGGTAATTTTAATATTTATGAAATAAAAATTTGGGAAAATGTAATTTTCAATTTATTTAAAAACCTAACAAAAAAAAAATTGTTCTATTAAGAAAATTTTTGATATACATACAAATGTAATATAAAGTTAAGCTCTCATCGAAGTGAAATAATAGAAATCGTTGACGGTTGTTGTTTTTCAGAACCGAGTTGTTCACAGTCTATAGGTATATTTTCATCAAATGTCTGAGAGAGGTTATAGATATATACAAGGTTTTGATTTCTATCACTTACAGATTAGCTGACACTACATACCCTATAAAAGTTTTAACTTCTAAAAACATAAAGAAAAAAATAATGAACAGTGGTTATTATTATCACCTTTTCTTCTTTTTCTCTGGAGATTGGAACGAAAATAGCTTGTTTTCATTATGTTCAAATAAAGTTGATATATTTTTTTTGTCCCCATTACTAAAGTAACATGAACAAATCAAAGAAGATGGACTTGGATTCCTGTCTCCACGTCTAAAATTTGATCATTCAAAATTAATCATGGGTTATTACTTTTTAATGTTAAATAAGCCTACCTCACAAGTGAAATCCATTTCGGTATACCTCCACTTCTTTAGAAGAACTGGGTCTTTTGGGAAACGAAAAAAAGAACAAGTTTTCTTTTCGCTGTAATGTTTTACATTCTGGAACAAAGCCCATAACCATATCTAAAAAAGAAAAAGTTTTAAACTGATAGCTTAATTTTAATTAGTAGTATATTTTTAATAAACTATCATATTATGGCTTGAAAATAAGTAAAATACAGATTTTAAAAAAGTGTTTCATACTTTGGTTTAATGGATTATACATAACCTCAAAATTTTGAAATTGTAAAATAGTTAAATAAAATAAGAACAAACTCACAAGTATTGTACATCTATTTTAAGCCAAGATTTTCTACAATATAAAATAAATGTTAAAATGTCTAAAGTAATTCGTACTTACTGATAATTTAAATTAAAACTTTCTTAATGGAAAAATACACCGGACAATTATTTGTTTGGAAACAATCAACTGTCAACAGAGTCTCAACGTCAACGGTGCTACCAACCTATTCAATGCAATGACGTCAGACTAATCTTGCTATAGAGCCTATTAGTCATGACGTCACATTTAGATTGGCAGGCATGCAAAGCTAACTTCAGAGTAATGCTTGATTCCAAACAATTAAAATTTGCATGTAATTTTCCATAAGAGAGATTTTATTTTTAATTTTTATATATTTAAAGTGCTTTTTAGTCACCCAAGTGGACTTTTTTTGAAAAAATTGTAGTTTTTAAACAACACAATTGAAAAACTGATGTATGTATTTTCAAAACAACTTGGTAATAATTGATTTAAACTTTGTGAGGTTATGACATATTGTTTTTTTTACATTTTAAGATATGATTTTAAAGCATTATTTCATCACTTTTTTTTATTTAGTAGTGTTTAGTAAAATGAAATGTAAAAAAGGTTTTGAAAATATTATTTACTCGAGCATTTACCTTTACTTTAGGCTTATTTACATCATGGCAGCAAAATATGTAATTAAATCGAGCGAAATTGTCAACTTTTTTAAAGATGAAGAAAAGCTCATCAGCAGTGGTGAAAATGCTGTTGAATCAGGTCATGTTACCAATTTAATTTGAGATGCTGAGCTTCATCTTGTTACAGGAAAAGTTTATGCAAGCATGAGGGATCGTCAATATAATCTTAAGGTAAAGCATCATAAAATTAACACAGATTTGAGGTGTATGTAATTTATGTTATTTTTTAGATTGATTTTGATACTGATTGGGCTATAAACTCAACAAGTTGTAGCAGCCCTAGAGGTCAGCTATGCTGATATTACATAGCAGCACTACTTTTTGCTCGGGATAATATTTCCATTAGTGACAAAACATTATATTCCATTTTTATTAGGGGAAAAAACATACAAGTAATTAATGTATACCTATAGTAATACTTGTAAGATTATATTGTTTTTTGGCATATTTTTAGTAACATTTAGAAGTACATAATTATAATATTAAAGTAGTAGATAATATAACATTAATATAAAACACTTAAACTTGTTCATTTATGAAGTAAAAATAAACATGTAAGTACCTACTTACCTACCATGTTGGTTGAGGGGGACAAACAGTTTGATTACTCATATTTACACAAGGAAGAGCTAGGTAATATATTTATAAAATAAAAATTTGGGAAAATGCAATTTTAAATTTATTTAAAAACCTAACAAAAAAATTTGTTCTATTAAGAAAATTTTTGATATACATACAAATATAATATAAAGTTAAGCTCTCGTCAAAGAAAAATAACAGAAAAATAATATACACAAAGCAAAGATCATAATCATAAAATGAATATGATAAAAAATAAGTAGTAAACAAATCTTTTATATACAATACCTGTGTATAAACAATAAAATTTTTGTCATTAAAATAAGTTACTCTATTCTATACAAGTGTTCTACTTCAGAAATTAATGGGAATTGCAAATTTGTCAGAGCACCACAGATTTGGAATATCTTTGTGGCTTGACGAAGTAAATTCTGAGGTATTGAATTTAATATGGAGAAGCATTTTATTCAAAACTCGTTGACGGTTGTTGTTTTTCAGAACCGAGTTGTTCACAGTCTATAGGTATATTTTCATCAAATGTCTGAGAGAGGTTATAGATATATACAAGGCTTTGAGTTCTATCACTTACAGATTTGCTGACACTACTACCCTGTAAAAGTTTTAACTTCAAAAAACATGAAGAAAAAACAGTAATTATTATTATCACCTTTTCTTCTTTTTCTCTGGAGATTGGAACAAAAATAGCTTGTTTTCATTATGTTCAAATAACGTTGGCATATTTTTTGTCCCCATTACCAGAGCCATTACTAAAATGACATGAACAAATCAAAGAAGATGGACTTGGATTCCTGTCTCCAAGTCTAAAATTTGATCATTCAAAATTAAACATGGGTTATTACTTTTTAATGTTAAATAAGCCTACCTCACAAGTGATCTCCACTTCGGTATACCTCCACTTCTTTAGAAGAACTGGGTCTTTTGGGAAACGAAAAAAAGAACAAGTTTTCTTTTCATTGTAATGTTTACATTCTGGAACAAAGCCCATAACCATATCTAAAAAAGAAAAAGTTTAAACTGATAACTTAATTTTAATAAGTAGTATTTTTTGAATAAAGTATCATATTATGGCTTGAAAATAAGTAAAATACAGATTTTAAAACAGTGTTTCATACTTTGGTTTAATAGATTATACATAACCTCAAAATTTTGAAATTGTAAAATAGTTAAAATAAGAACAAACTCACAAGTATTGTACACCTATTTTAAGCCAAGATTTTCTATAATACTAAATAAATGTTAAAAAGTCTAAAATAATTCGTATTTACTGATAATTTAAATTAAAACATTTCTTAATGGAAAAATACACGGGAAAATTATTTGTTTGAAAACAATCAACTGTCAAGTCAACGGTGCTACCAACCTATTCAATGCAATGACGTCAGACTAATCTTGTCTATTAGAGCCTATTAGTCGTGACGTCACATTTAGATTGGCAAGCATGCACAGCTAACTTCAGAGCAATGCTTGATTCCAAATAATTAAAATTTGCATGTAATTTTCCATAAGAGAGAATTTATTTTTAATTTTTATATATTTAAAGGGCTTTTTAGTCACCCAAGTGGACTTTTTTTGAAAAAATTGTAGTTTTTAAACAACACAATTGAAAAACCGATGTATGTATTTTCAAAACAACTTGGTAATAATTGTTTTAAACTTTGTGAGGTTATGACATATTGTTTTTTTTACATTTTAAAGGCATTATTTCATCACTTTTTTTTTATATTTAGTAGTGTTTAGTAAAATGAAATGTAAAAAAGGTTTTGAAAATATTATTTACTCGAGCATTTACCTATTTACTTTTGTATACTTTTACTTTAGGCTAATTTACATCATGGCAGCAAAATATGTAATTAAATTGAGCAAAATTGTCAACTTTTTTAAAGACTAAGAAAAGCTCATCAGCAGAGGTGAAAATGCTGTTGAATCTGGTCATGTTACCAATTTAATTTCAGATACTGAGCTTCATCTTGTTACAGGAAAAGTTCACGCAAGCATGAGGGATCGTCAATATAATCTTAAGGTAAAGCATCATAAAATTAACACAGATTTGAGGTGTATGTAATTTATGTTATTTTTTAGATTGATTTTGATACTGATTGGGCTATAAACTCAGCAAGTTGTAGCTGCCCCAGAGGTCAGCTATGCTGATATTACATTGCAGCACTACTTTTTGCTTGGGATAATATTTCTATTAGTGACAAGGAATGTATGTGGAGTAAACCAAAGCAAGTTAAAGATCCTGCGGTCAAAAATATTAATGATTTATACCCCACAAAAAATCACAAATTCTATTTGGAACATTATATTACATTTTTATTAGGGGAAAAACATACAAGTAATTAATGTATACCTATAATAATACCTGTAAGATTATATTGGTTTTTGGCATATTTTTAGTAGCACTTAGAAGTACATAATTATAATATTAAAGTAGTAGATAAAAAATGCAATTTTCAATTTATTTAAAAACCTAACAAAAAATTTGTTCTATTAAGAAAATTTTTGATATACATACAAATATAATATAAAGTTAAGCTCTCATCGAAGGGAAATAATAGAAAAATAATATACACAAAGCAAAGATCATAATCATAAAATGAATATGATAAAAAATAAGTAGTAAACAAATCTTTTATATACAATACCTGTGTATAAACAATAAAATTTTTGTCATTAAAATAAGTTACTCTATTTTATACAAGTGTTCTACTTCAGAAATTAATGGGAATTGCAGATTTGTCAGAGCACCACAGACTTGGAAAATCTTTGTGTCTTGACGAAGTAAATTCTGAGGTATTGAATTTAATATGGAGAAGCATTTTATTCAAAACTCGTTGACGGTTGTTATTTCTCAGAACCGTGTTGTTCACAGACCATAGGTATATTTTCATCAAATGTCTGAGAGAGGTTATAGATATATATAAGGCTTTGAGATGGCTTTGAGTTCTATCACTTACAGATTTGCTGACACTACATACCCTGTAAAAGTTTAAACTTCTAAAAACATGAAGAAAAAAATAATGAACAGTAATTATTATTATCACCTTTTCTTCTTTTTCTCTGGAAATTGGAATGAAAATAGCTTGTCTTCATTATCTTCAAATAACGTTGGCATATTTTTTTGTCCCCATTACTAAAGTGACATGAACAAATCAAAGAAGATGGACTTGGATTCCTGTCTCCACTTCTAAAATTTGATCATTCAAAATTAAACATGGGTTATTACTTTTTAATGTTAAATAAGCCTACCTCACAAGTAAAATCCACTTCGGTATACCTCCACTTCTTTAGAAGAACTGGATCTTTTGGGAAACGAAAAAAAGAACAAGTTTTCTTTTCATGTAATGTTTACATTCTGGAACAAAGCCCATAACCATATCTAAAAAAGAAAAAGTTAAGCTAAAAGTTAAAGTGATAGCTTAATTTTAATAAGTGGTATTTTTTGAATAAACTATCATATTATGGCTTGAAAATAAGTGAAATACAGATTTTAAAAAAATGTTTCATACTTTGGTTTCATAGATTATACATAAACTCAAAATTGTAAAATAGTTATATAAAATAAGAACAAACTCACAAGTATTGTACACACAAAACACATACACAAATTGTACACCTATTTTAAGCCAAAATTTTCTAGAATATAAAATAAATGTTAAAAAGTTTAAAATAATTTGTACTTACTGATAATTTAAATTAAAACCTTTCTTAATGGAAAAATACAGGGGACAATTATTTGTTTGGAAACAATTAACTATCAACTGAGCCACAAAGTCAACGGTGCTACCAACCTATTCAATGCAATGACGTCAGACTAATCTTGCTTATAGAGCCTATTAGTCGTGACGTCACATTTAGATTGGCAGGCATGCAAAGCTAACTTCAGAGCAATGCTTGATTCCAAACAATTAAAATTTACGTGTAATTTTCCACAAAAGAGATTTATTTTATAAATGTATGTTCTAAAATGCCTAGTTTCGAAGATACAGGGTGTAGAAATTTAATTTTTATTTCAATTTTTTCAAACTAATTTCTCAACTAAGGTCGATATTGAAAAAAAAATTGGTATCTGGGAGTTTTTTGATATGATTTTGATGTAATCATGACCGTGACTCCCACTTGTAGAAGAGGGCGCCATCCACATATTTTTTAACTACTTTGAAGAGTAATAACTTTTTTCATCCGTACCTGTATAAACCTACTGGGTGAATATATATACGTTTCCGCCATTTTTTACGTAAAAAAGTCTCTTGGTAAAAATCGCTATGAGTAATGGTTCTCGAGATATTTGGAATCAAAATAATCAATACTTCTCATCATTAACATAGATTAAACATGTTGACCGGATACTTATTATTAAATAGCAACAATAATTGTTTAATTTATATAATATTTAAACTTTAAAAAAAATAATAAATTTGAAATTGTTTGGTTTCAAAGGTTCAACAGAAACTGTTTTATCATAATTTTTTCGAAGAGAAATTTATGATTAATTTAAAAAAATAAAAATTTCCCAAATTTACATTTTCAGTGTAGTACCAATCTACTGAACACATATATTGTTTATTTTTGTCAATAGTGGCACGTATTAATTATTTCGATTCCAAATATCTCGGGAACTATTGCTCATAGCGATTTTTGTCAAGAGAACTTTTTTACGTAAAAAATGGCGTAGAAATGAAAAAATGACGTAAAAATGGCCTATGTACCATGTAGGTGACGTACCAGAAGGAGTCACTTCATTAACATCGAAATCAAATTTCTCTTATGAAATCACCTAGCCACCAATTTTTATCCAAATATCTATTATAGTTCAGAAATTATTTGGAAAAAAAATAGTTCTAAAAATGAAACTAAATTATCTGCAAAATATGCTGCCGAAGTTTCCCGAATACAATTCGGAACACCCTGTATATTCGTTTTGATTACTTTAATAATAAAACTTCTATTGCAGTACTCAAGACAGAGCAGAGGATGAAATATTTGATTTGCCTGGGACGTCTGCTTCATTTCCAATGAGGTAATAAATAAGTTTTGATAAATGTCTAACAGTGATTTCTAACACTGTTTTTTCGATCATATGGTATAAACTTTCTGTCATATCTCCATTTAAGGTTTGAGCATCTGGGCATAAACTTACCACAGTGTATACCATATGATCGACAGAAGATACGGCGTCAGAGATGACTTGAAAACAACCTATTGTGTCTATATTCTTTTTTACACATAGGTGTATATTCTTTTTGATTTTTAATAATAAAACTTTTATTGCAGTACAGAAGAGTTTGCAGAAGATAACATATTTAATTTGCCTGGGACATCAGCTTCATTTCCAGTCAGGTAATGGTAATAAATAAGTTTTGATAATTATTTTTATATGGATGGCTCGGAAAAATAAATTGCTGTCATTTTATATGTAAAAATATAATGGGGGGACGTCATTTCCAAGCCGTTTTTTCTGATCATATGCTACCAAGGGGTGGCCTTTTTTTATTTATGACAATTTCTATAGTACGTAGTTACGTAGCTTTAATGTATCTTCTTGTAGATACACAGGGTGATCCGAATTGGATTCGGGAAACTTCGAACATATTCTACAGATAAAAGTAAATATTTTTTTTATAAATTTATGTCCTAAAATGCCTTGTTTAGGATATACAGGGTGCAGAAGTTTCATGTTTATTTCGATTTTTTTCAAATAATTTCTTAACTAACATCGATATTTGATGGAAATTGAGTGTTTTTTGATATGTGGATTTGGATGTCACCATGTTCCTACAATTGAAATTATCCACATGTCATCGTTGACAAAAATAAACATGATTTTATATGACCTCTTTACTTCTTTTTACCTACAGAATATGTTGTCGAAGTTTCCCAATTATAATTTGACTGCCGTGTATAAATATACAGACATGCTTATGCGTATTTGACACGGATTATTGTAGTTGTTTAGATTTTTATAAATTGTGAGTGATGAGGTTTTTGAGGATCATGTGCTGTTACTTTGAACCATTTGCAACAGGTACAGGATGTCCCAAATAAAAGAAATATCAAAATTGAATTTTTTAAATGGAACACCCTGTATATTATTAAATTTTTACCACACTGCATTTTCACAAAATCGTATATATTTTAAAAAAGGTAATATTAAAAGTGCGCTAAACCTTAACCAAATTTATCTATATTTTACTCGTAGAAACTAAAAATATAATACTGTACAGGGTGTTTCATTTAAAAAAATAGAACTTTGATATTTTTTTATTTATTTGGGAGACTGTACCTATTGCAAATACTTTTAAATTGTAGCTTTAATAGTCCTCCAACGATCCCATCACTTACAATTTCCAGAACTCTAATCGTTTGGGTACAATACTCCGTGTCGAAGACTAGTAATTTATTAATAAAGTTGAAACATATTTATATTTTAGAATGCCCCTAAAGGAGAAATCAACAAACAGTCAAAGTTTTAAAGGATCATCATCATCATCATCTTTCGTTACTGAAGAGGAAGATGAAACATCATTAAAATCATCTATTAATATGTCTGAAAGAACTGTTTTAAAAAAAAGGTAAGTCTGAAAACAATTATTTAAGTCAGAAACATTAAAAAAGCATACAGCATTAATAAAATACTCTGTAAGCTAGAACGAAACATTAAGTGATATTTCCACAAGTTTCTTTTTATCCTGCAAAACTAAGACTCATCATTTGGAATAATAGAATAGGTAATTTTCTAAGAAATGCGGAAGAATCTTTTTTATCCACTTTTTTTAACAGTGTATTTGGTTTTGTCATTAATGTTTGAAACATCGTATTTTTGAAAATATCGTTTTATAATTTACAAAAAGCAATGAAATGAAAAGATTTAGAGAGTATACTTTGAATTGGTTTGGCTTTTCTTGTAGAATTGTGAATATCTATTTTCAAAGTTTTTTTTTTGTAGGAAACGAACTTATGGGGGGATATGTGTAGCAGTGATTTTTCTACACCTGAAAAGCGTAGGAAGAATTTGTTTCGGGTGAAAGAAGTTGTCAGAACCCAAAGGACGCGGATCCATAGATTACAGATGACTGTGAGGAGATTAAAAAACCGTGTCACTTCCATGAAATCGCTACTGCTTTATTTGAAAAAAAAATCTATGATTTCAGATTCTTCGGAGTCTACAATAACAGTAAGTAGTATATAACAAAGCTTAACGGTTAAAATATAATTTTTGTTTTTGCAGGCCTCAGTATCAGGTCCCGCTGTACAAATATTTAATAAAATGTTAGAAGGACCGTCGAAGCAAAAATATGATCCACAGTTAAGATCATTTGCCTTGACACTGGCATTTTATTCTCCTAGGGCGTATAAATTTGTCAGAGAAACCTTTAACAATACACTACCCCATTTAGGGACAATATCCAGGTGGTA